CATTTTTTTGGTGTATTAAATTTCTCGAAATTTTATAAGTTTGACATTACAAAGTTTACAAAACCCTTACTATTTAGTATCAGTAAATCCCATTTTTGACGAGCTTTCATTTGGTATAAAATTCATTATATACTTCTCCTGGAATAATATTATTTCCTAGGGATATCAAGTCGGTTGCTCACGCCCATATGGATCAATTCCGATAGTTAAATTCTGAATTTTGAAATCTATTTGTAATGATATATTTCAGGCAGTGTAACCACTCAGTTGTACGTGCCTGGGTCGATGTACAGTCAGTCACAAAAGTGTTCATACGATTTTACTTCTTCTCTCATATCTCGACCACATTAAAAGTTAGAAAAGAAAGCAACACACAGTTCGAGAGCAGAAACTGTCGGCTGTCACAGTGACAGAAAAAGTTATAAAAATGTTTGAGTCTTGCCAGAAAAATTTTCACTTTAGTGAGATGAAGTCGAAAAGTGTCGAAAAACTCGGTTTTTGAGGTCAAAGTTCAATCAAAACTCAATAAAAAATATACTGCTGAAACTACTGAAAGAGCGTTACAAACTGTTCTTGCCATGTAACTTTTATTGCAAAAGTATCAACAAAGGCCGAAGATTAGCCGATTTGAAACCATTTTGAAACACTGAGCAGTTTAAAAATGATTTTTTTCGATCACTAATCTTTACTATAAAATTTTGATTTTTATATCAGTGTGAAGAGAAAAAAATTTTCTACAAACTGAGCCACGTCTTTGTCTCAGGTTAAAACTCCTTCATGCACTTTTGGACCTGGCTAGGTTTTTTTGTAAAAGTCTGCAGAAGGGAAAACATTTTTTTTTCTTTCTTTCCTGCCGTTCTCTAGCAGAATGAACTATAGGTGAACACATCTTGCTACGTTCCAAAATGGATGAAGGAGCGGCCTCCGCGGTGGTCATCAACAGGAGAGATGTGGCTCCCATCAAGTACCCATTTATGTGAGTCAATGAGGGCCCCAGAGCTTTCCTTAAAACCCCATAAAAACTTATTTTAAATCTTTTCCTCGAACGCGTATCCCTTTATTTTTAGTGCTCTATCTGTGCTAAAAATTTCAGCTTGATTGGTTGAACCATCTTTGAGAACCAGCAAGTGTCGAAAAAGAGGGGGGTGGGGTACCCTTAATGGAAAACATCGTCTGAGCTTATTATTTCTCCTAGATACAAAATATAAGCTAAATGAATTCGAGTAAAAAACATTTTTTTCTTCAAAATCAGATGTTCGCGAACTCTCTTCATCATTCTATTTCAGAGATACAAAAGCTATCAAAACATATCGCATGTATTTTTTATCCACATTAAAAAAAACATGTTTTATGACCCTCAGATGCAATCATATCGTAAAAATCTTTTTACATAGAATGTCTTTTATTGTCACGCAAAAGGACACAGAAACGATCTACAATTTTTAATGCTATAGTACAAAAGAACCTGGTAAAAAACACAAATTGTTTAGATACAGAAGTTATTTATATTTCCGTTCTATCCAAAATGAAATATGATTCTCTGATACAAATCGGTAAATATCAACAACACATGGAGGTTCAGTCATTATGATTGTTTCATTATTCGTCTTCATATCAGTTACTTCATATTCTTTTTCAGTAAAATCAAAACGTAAACATTTAAGTTGATGTTCATTAATATGAGTGAAAATGAAATCAATCCATTTGTGAATGTTGCACCATGCTGATGAGATATGTTTGCATTTAATAAAACGTAAATATTGCAATTGAGGAAAACGGTCTTTGTCAATAACGAAAGAAAGAAGTGGTAACATTATTTCTTCGCTTATGTTTATATTGATAATAGACGAACAATCTACATATACTCGATCAAGATGGCGAAGGAAAGTATCGAGATATTGATTGTCACGATCGTTAGCAAACCAATATTTCAGTTCAGTTGAATTAACATAAAGACATTTTACTTTCGGTAATAAACGAAACCAGCTAATTAATTCTAAAATTAAAAAAATGCCGCTAAGTTTCATAGTTGAGTCGTTGAATAAAAGAAACTTAATTAACAAAAAGGTCAATACATTAGAAAAGAGTCATTTCCATACAAAGTACTATGAAAATCAACTTTTAATAATCAAAACCTCGAAATTATGCTCATTTTTATGACAATTTCTATGAAAATGATTCTTTCCTAGTGTATTGATTTTTTTGGTAATTAAAAATGTCCAAGACACAATTCAATGATTTTATAGTTTCACACCACTCATAATCAAAAAAACATCTAAATAAAAAACAAAATTAGCGGCGATGAAGGGGAAGAACATAATCCATAGAAAAAGTACTACTTTCTTTAATTAAGATTTATCGATTCAGTTAGATAATACATATATATATACATGGTATTAGAAACAAATCTTAGATTAATGTAATCATATTTATAAAAGTATACTTGTTTTTTCTTCAGTTTGCTTTATTTCTGCAAAACATTGAAATTTTCTCATTTGAATGTGGTCGAACAGATTATTGATTACTTGATCCAATCATATAGTTTTCATTTTATTTATTTTAAATCTTAAGTAAATATTTAATAAATTACTAGAATCAGTAAAATGAAGCTTTTGCACACTCAGACTAAATTTATTAATCATGAAATTATTTTGGATAGAAAAAATTCATGAAATTTAAATGTGTACAAAATATTAAAATGAAATTATTTCCAGTCTGAAAATACAATTATATTTTGTTATTAATAGGGCAAATGAATTTTTTTTCGCTCACAGAAATATTTCAATATCTCTCAATCGACTTTTCGACCTACAGGAAGTGACAACAATGTTATAGTCAACCCTGTAAAGTATGTGTGGGAGTCTAAAAATCGATGAAAAGTTGTTCCACAATAAATCTTTGCGATATCATTATGAGTACTGATCAACTTTATTTTACTACAAAGAAACCGAAATATTTTGAGATGGGAAAACAACTTTATGCCCGCTTGTGTTTCGATGCATAAGCATGTATGATTTCTTCTTTTATAATTAACTCACAAAAAAGATAAAACAAATCTGAACATACGTTGGAGATCATAAGTACTGTTGGTATCAAATGAACTCATCAATTGTAGCGTGGTGAAATGCATAAGTTGTACATGATCTTCTATATTGTCTGGCAGTATTCCTCTTGTATCAGATATAATCAATACTCTGTCTACAAGAACGATATAGATACATCAAGGACTTGTTTGAAAAATAATATTAACTTACTCTCACTACATGAACATTGAAGTGCATGAACAAATGAAATTGGTATTTTTTGCTTTTCAACCATAGAGATAAACAACCATCTCATACCATACCAGAGAGATCTAAGTGCTATAGACAGATTACTCGGTCTTTCTTTCTCTTCTTCACTATTGTTGAATAGTACATCGATAAGATCAATTGTGCAAAACAGAGCATTGTCGGAAAATGTATATGGAAGAGAATACATCTGTACATAATCAAATACTTGGTGATAAGTCACGCAGACTTGTATGTAACCCAGAGGTCCATCGAGCCAAAAAGGTGTACAGAAAGTTTGAATAAAATCAGTCAATGTTTGGGTGCTTCGTCGCTCTATGAATTGCACTTGAATAGCAAAATTCAATGATCGCAAATGAGATAATCTACTGCAAAGAAGAGCGAGATGATGACCATTGAAACATATATCAGTTTCACCATTACAAAAATGAGTTAAACATAAAGAAAATTCTTCTACCGTATTTGTGAATTTATCCATTAATTGCTCAAGACAACTGCAATCTGATCCACCGATCCTCAAATTCCTTCAAAAAAGTAGATATCAATAAAACAATATTTAGAACATAAATGTGTTTTACCTTAAATTAAACACACGAAGTTTTTTTGAATAATTTAATTTTGTTGCCAGATTTTGATCAGTAGTATTAATTGAATCAATAATGCTGCTAATATATACATCTTCAAATAAAATAAATATACGTTTAGTTGATTATGCTGATATCAAAGCCAGGAAAGATATTTTTAGAAGGAATTCCTTTTCCCTATTTTCAAAGTTGTGATTTCCAAATAATACGATCCGAATAATGAATTTTCGATATTATTAACTAAAAATTCTGTCTCTAATAATATTACCTCTCAATTTTAATTTCCTCTTCAAACATAAAAATAGAGAACGTTTTATGTTTATGATATCATTTAGACCCAAAGAAGCGAAAGTAAACTTGATGCGTGTAGAACTCTAAAGTTAAAGTTAATTGTTCCTTCTTTGAAAGAGTTTTTTGAAATACGATAAATCTGCAACATTTTTATGTATAATAAATATTTTCAGAGTATAGAATTTTGTGTTTATTACCTAAATGTTTAAGTTGAGGAAGATAATGAAGAAGTACATAAAGTGTATTTAAGTTGAGAACACTGATTTTGAGATAGATGAGAGAATGATGAGGACCATAAGCATTAACGATTGTATGTTCATATTTGAGTTCGAAACCGTTTTCACGTAGTGGAGTTTGTAATTTATAACTAACGAGATTAGTCGAACAGTGAAATAACCAATCAAACAAATCTCTTGAATGATAAGTTTGATTAGAACAAGCATTCCAAGTAAATGTACGCATTGATGATCCACCAGCTACAGCAAATAATAGTACGTCTCGGGAATCTTCGTTAATCGATACAGATTGGAAAACAACGAGAGTAATCAATTGAGGAAATATTGGTTTTATTTGCTTGCTATGTAACAATAAGATACGGAAGAAATTTTTGGGTACATTAGTAAATGATTTTCCTTTCCTTGCAAAATGACTTGCGACGATTGATTTTGTCACTTCGTCTGCAAACATATCCATTTGAGAACATCGATAACGATTGCCTAATTTAAGAACAGTAAGACCAAGACGCCACTCTATCATAGTTGGTACTTGATGACAAAAGAATCGACAAGCTGATAATGAACAATAACGTAAATCCAATTGTTTGTAAAGTTCACAAAATTCTAACAATAACGAATTAATACGAGTATTAAGATGTAAGAAACTGTATATGACATCTGCAGCTGCTAACTGATCCCAAACACAAAGGATAAGTTCGTTTGACATGTCTTCAAATTGCAACATTGTAAAGAAAGGTTAAAATTTAAACTTTTATACAATTGAACAATATTGTTGTATATGTGTATATAAGCTTCGGATGGATGAACGAGTGACCTTTTGAACGGAGAAAGTTTTACTTTCCTGTCCAACTGATATAAATAAAACAATGTTAATGAACTGTGATCGCTCATAAAATAAGAGTGCATCGTCATATTGAAATGAACGTTATAAAAAAAACCAAAAAGAAATAAATATATATGTCGTCGTATCGAAGTTACAACTCCGACAACAAATTTTATCGAAGTTATTTCAAATCAACTAAATATTAAATAATTAATTATACTAAAATCAAAATATATATTTTTAATTAATTTTTCATTTGAACACCATACATATTAATTTTACGGATAAAAAATAATCTTTTTCCGAAAAATGAAACATTAAGTCTTATTATAATACCGCACATAACGATAGATCTATTCACACAACACAAATTTTGGCAGCTAATGAAAAATTAAATCGATTTCTAGAATACTAACAGTGACATGAACAACATTATAACTTTATATTAATAAGAAAAATAATAGATACAGGAATGAGTTAAATGCGTAGTATAGAATTGGAACCACACGAAGTCATTAGTAAGATTACACTTAGCTGGATTTTCACATCTAACATGTTTCAGTGTTACTAGTGTATCAAATGGATATTAATCAGATTTATTAATATATTCAAACAGTCGGATACATCTTTTCTAATATATAATATATTTTTGCTGTACTAGGAAAAAACTCTGGCCCAACGATGGATTTATATGTCCTATTAGAAGACCCCTTCTCCCTCAATGTATAGGGACCTCCCCTTGAATAAACGACGCTAATGGCTGTTAAAAGACTCACCCATCGCCTCTGATAAGTCTTTTGGAGCAGATGGATGAGTCTTCAAATCTGTCTTTAGCATCATTTCTTCGAAAGCTGATCTCCTTTAAATGCTGGGTGGTGGTCTTCTAACGTGACCATGACTTTAATCCATATTATTAGTTTTAATCTTTTATGCAAAATGAATGTCGAGATTCAAAGAAGAAATCCAACAAAATTCGAAATAAGATAAATGGGTCGGAGTTATACTAACGAGGGAACCTTTTCAACTGTCCAATCGCTTTTGAGTTCGAAC